GAATGAGTATGTAGTTTTAGTTTGAAAAGGAGTGATATCTATCTGTACTAACTGCTTCTTCTGAAGATGATCAGTGAAAATGTCAGAATCCACTCTTCTAGCATTTGAGTCAATAGGAAACAATAGGATGGATTAAACTTGAATTCTGAAAGATTCATGTGAATGAAATACCTCTGTTACAATTTTGATATGGGCAACAAATAAACCCCCACAACTTAGAATTTGTAATTATTTCTCAAATTATTTTTACCGTAAAAGCTGTGAGCAACTTAGTTTTTGATTTATCTATATTACATTTGAAAACACGTCTAGGCAACAGAGATAAAATATTTCACAGATAACTTCTTTTTTTCCAAAACACAAAATAATCTCAGATGATTTGCTTAGGAAGAAAATGATACTGAAGGATATTTAGCATTTTCTTCACATGCAACTACATAATGTTATATAATGGGAGTACATAAATGCAAAGTAAAATGCAATCTCTCAACTGATGAATGGGTGTGCCAGTTTCCCAGGCGGCAAATTAAGAACATTGAGGCAAATTGTATTTAAACCAATTGACAGTGGTATCAGATGAAAAGAAGGTTGAGCACCAAAGAACTGATTCTTTAGAACTGTGTTGGAGAAGACTCTTCAGAGTCCCTTGCACTGCAAGGAGCTCAAACCCGTTGATCCTAAAGGAAATCAACCCTGAATATTCATTGGAAGGCTCCAATACTTTGGCCACCTGATGCAAAGAACTGACTCATTTGAAAAGACCCTGATGCTGGGAAAGATTGAAGGCAGGAGGAGAAGGGGGCGAATCAGAGGATGAGATGGTTGGAGAGTGTCACTGAATCTTTGGACAGGAGTTTGAGCAACCTCTGGGATATGATAGAGGACAGGGAAGCCTGGTGTGCTGCAGTCCATGGGGTCGCAAAGAGTTGGACATGCCTTAGGGGCTGAACAACAACAACAATTGGAGGAAATGGCTGATAACTGAGATAAAAATTAAGGTTACTTGTGCAGTTCAAAGTGTGTGAAAGGTTCATCCCCTTACAGCAAGACTTTTGGATTCAAATATATAAATGTGACTGTTTAGGTCCATAACAGTTTTCAGTGATGAATGTAAATTCAAATTTGACACTAAGACTTAAGCCCAAGAATCAAATTCAAGACTTTAACTGCTAGGCCATAAACAACAATTTAAAAAATACGGTGCATTTACTTCAAAATTTAATTTTAGGCTTATATGGACATGCTCCAGAACTCTGCAGTATGCTAAAAAAATTAAACGTGAAGGCACCTAGAATTCATCTCTTTTTGACAGCTGAGCCCAGTTATGGTTACAAAGTACCTACATTTGGGCTCAGTAAAGCAAGTGCTTTGAACAAACCATCAACTGCAATAAAAATAATACACAGGTTACAATGGATGCAAGAGACAATGTAAGTTTAATACATGGGAAAACACCATCTACTTTGGCTCTTTATTTATTCCAGGACCAAAACAGCTACGAAATTTCTGAGTTTCTAATTTAGAAAATCTTAAATAGGGAGAGAACAGTTTGGGCAAGCCTGGCTAACAGTTTTCAAAAACTCATTAGTCCTGTAAAATTTCAATTTATCCTCTCACATTTGCAAGGCGTCCAGTGCATTTACCAATAATACCCTTTTCTTTTCAAGTTACCCTCACCTCCATCTGCAGTTCCCATATCATTAAGCTGAACACAGAGATGTGACTGCAGAAAAGCCATTCAGCATTTGTCAATAATCACTACTGAGACTCGGGGAAGGGGAGAAGCAGAAAATATTAACATTCTTTGGCAGATTCACTTTCCTCCTCATTCACTCAAACTTCATCAAAGTTCTGGGTTTTTTTTTTTTTTTCCTGCATTTGTAACTCCAACTGCAGTACACCAACACGTATTTATTGGGCATGGACTATGTACAGATCTTTGGCTCAGTGATGAAGGTGAAACGCTTGGTCAGAATCTGGAACGTGCTTCTCTAGAATAAATTCTGGGATCACCATCACCCAGACAATCACCCACTATACACAGTGCCCATGCCTTCATCTTTGCTCACAACGAGGATGTGAGCAGATGCCTCGTGGGTCACTGGGGAGGATCCAAGAGAAGGGCTCTGACAAGGATGTCACACACACCGACCCAAATGAGCGTGTGAGAGTGAAAGCAATACCTGGGGTGGGCAGCAGCCATCCTGTGGTCATGAGTGAAAGTTGCTCAGTCACGTCCAACTCTTTGCAACCCCATGGATTACACAGTCCATGGAATTCTCCAGGCCAGAATACTGGAGTGGGTAGCCGTTCCCTTCTCCAGGGGATCTTCTCGACCCAGGGACTGCAGCCAGGTCTCCCACATTGCAGGCACAGATTCTCTACCAGCTGAGCCAAAAGGGGAAGCCCAAGAATACTGGAGTGGGTAGACTATCCCTTCTCCAGGGGATCTTCCTGACTCAGGAATCAAACCGGGGTCTCCTGCATTGCAGGAGATCCTTTACCTGCAGGCATAGAATTCTTCACCAGGTGGATTCTTTACCAACTGAGGTATCAGGGAAGACAGAGCTCAACAGAACACCCACCACAAAGAGGAGGAGGTGTGAAAGGCTGAGGGTGAAGTAATAGACATCAGCAGTAGGGTGGGGTCTCCTGGCTAACCATGGCTTTCTGAGGGCGGGAATCTATCTTCTACTCCTGCCAATACTACAGGAAACACCTGTCATCCATCCATCCATCCATCATCTACTTGCCTACCTGCCTACCCACCCATTATCTACCTCTCATCTACTGAATACAGTCAGGATTGTTATAAGACTGACTTGTATTTATCATCTCACAGTGTCCCAGGCACAGACCTTTCTGCTGGAATCCCGCCCTGTGTGCTGTGGGTATGTGTATTATAATTTGCCTATCCTTTGTAGATTCTGTTCGGTGACCAGAGTTAAGTAGTGTGGCTCAGTAGTGTGGCCTCTGGACCAGAGAGAGGGAGGAGGCAGCAGTGTTGATTCTTCGTGAAGGATATCCTGGGAAGCCCCCTGCCCTGGGGGATGGTGTGGGCAGAGCAGACCACGGACTGCAGGAATTTGAGTGAGCAGGCAGTGAGTGTCTGTGTGAGTGTGTGTGTGTGAGCACGAAAAGTGTGCCTCACCTCTCCCCCCCCAGAGTTCACGGCCATGGGGACGGGGCAGCTCAGTCACTCCGCTGAGACCTCCTCTGTGTCCAGCTCTCCTTCTAAGATGTCAGTCTGGACTCAGCAAGTCCCATGGGACCCCAGTCCTCTCTGAGCCCACACCTCCCCCGCAGGACTCACCAGTGGTCTTGATGGTGGGAACTCTGGAGGCCAGGAGGTAGGAAACTGCTGAGAGGCAGGCTCAGGTTGCCCCTGCCCCTGGCCCTCCAGAGGCAGCAGGGCCCTGGAGGTGTTCCCAGGGAGCCAGTGGGCTTTCCAGCCTACCTGGGGGGCTTCACTCAGCAGCAGCCCTGGAGGGCGCTGCCCCTCGCCCTGCAGGAGGACCACCCGGGGTGGCGGGGCTTGGGGGAGGGCTGCAGGCCCCTGTCTTGGTCCCCAGGTTGCTTCCTGGTAGCTGGCGGGTCTTGGCTTCCTGCGTGTTCAGAGCCGCCTTTCCCAGAAGCCTCTGCTGTCCAAGTTCCAGCTCTCGGTGCGTCCCGGGGGCGGTCATCTCCACGTCCACACGAGTGGAGTCTCTTCACCCCACAGCCTGGGCACTGGGGCTGGGGACACACACCCCCCAGCTCTTCCTCAGACCTGTCCTCAGCCGTGCGTGCAGACAGGGCGCTTTGGAGGGAGAGCAGCAGGGGCCCGGGGACTCGAGAAGGAGTGGGGGGAGTGAAGCTGGTCTCCGTTCAGGAGGAGAGCCAGGGCCCTGGAGGTGACGTGGGAGGGGGAAGCCAGGAGCACCCCCCTGCCCTCCTCACCTGCAGCATCAGGGACCTGGGAGCGTCCCTGCCATCAAGGGCCAGAGAATCCGCGTTGCACCACATTCTGTTCTTACTTTTGGAAAGTACTTCATATTTTCAGAAAGGCTGGACTGCTTTGAGATTGGAAAGGAAACGGGCTCTCCCATAAAGGTCTCGACCGTGGTGAGGTGGGGATGGAGAGACGCCCACAGCAGCTCTCAGAGAAGTGGTGGATGGGGGGCTGGATGGGGGAGATGGGGGAGAAGGTTCCAGAAACGGCAGAAGGTTGCATCCGCACCCAGCGCTCTGCTCTAGGAATTCGGACGCACCCCATGAGAAGTCCCAGCCTCTTTAATTACAAGAGCAGGGAAAACACAAATTGTATCAAATGTGCAATTTTTAGAAGCACAGAAAACACAGCATTTTCCAACACACAACCAAGCTGCCTGTGCAAACCTGTGCCAACTGCTTTCTCTGCCTAACCCTACATCCTAACCCTAGTATCTTCTCACCTCAGGGAGTGTGCAGCATTAAAACAATTACGCCTTATTTTCGGCTCAAAAAGCTGAACTTGTTATTCTGGACAAACAAGTATTTGCAGAGTTGAAGGAGGTGATTCTGAAAGAGTTGCTCTTTCAGGTACACATAACTTACCAGTAAAGTAGAAACTTCTACTAGTGAAGATCAAAACAATTTAAACTAGTTCTTATCACCGACTTTAAGATACACATTGAGGTTTAATAATGTCTTGAAAAGTGAGTTTTATGAAGAACCAGGCAACGTCACTTTTCCTGCAAGATCCCATACTTGTGTTCTCTTTGTAGTATTCGCCAAAGCTCAATTTGAGGTATGGTGGTACTTTTTTCCTGTGATTACAAGTACTATTTTAATGCACTTATAATTTTAAATACCTACTACACTTATTCCATTAATGCTCCCAAAGTAAACCAAGTCAGATACCATCAACCACACCAGACATTACGCAAAATGAACTACTGGGTCACTGTTGTTCACTGTCATCAAGATCAAATCAGTCCTGGACAGCAGGAGGCAGGGTCTGCAGGGTGACTCAGATGTACCTGCCCAGCAGCAGACAGTGTCCGTCTGCCCTCATTGCCTCCTGGCAGACACAAGAGCATTTCTGGGGGAGTGGGGGGGAAGTCCAGGACCACCAGGTAAGGCAGCTTGTGCACGCTGGTCTCGACACCACGGAGGATGCTTTGTGCCAAAGGGAAGCCTGCAGACAAAAGCAGGTGTCAAAATCATCTGAGTTTCCCTTTTCAGGGATTGAGAGAAACCTTTGAATTTGTCTTCAGTTAAATACCAAGTCCAGGCACAAAGACCGCTGGGTCTGTATTTCTGAGTCATTCAGCCCACTGGAAGAGAGAGATGACTGGGCTCAGAGATCAGCTTCAGGGACCAGTCTTGAAAATAACCAAGTTAAGATCTCTAGTTTTATGTATTGTTTTGCCTCATCTCTCAGCTTTGAGGATCCCAGTTCCCCGACCAGGGACTGAGCGCAGGTCACAGCAGTGAAAGTGCCGCATCCTAACCACTGGACTGACAGGGAATTCCCTCACATCACGATTTCTAACTTAAAACTTGATCTCAACTATTTTCCAGCAAAATGGATAAAAGTGACAGAATCAAGGTTAAAACATAAAATGAAAAAAGAGAAACACAAGCCAGGATATAAATTCTGGATAAGAGATGACAATGCAAAAAAACATAATAGGAAGGTTTCTAAGTGGACCAGGGGTTCATCGTGAACAAATGAGCTGTAGGTTCATTATCTTAAACAATATTCAAGGATTTGTTCAAGTCCTAGAAAGTGTACTGAGATTATGAAAAATGTGTAGTTGCCCTCAGGAAAAGCTAATCATTTACAAATATTTATTGATAAAGTTCATTTCCCAAATTGCCTATAGCTCCTAACTGAAAATCCATGAGGTTAATGCAGCTATAAACTCTCTGAGAAAAAAAACACAAAACTCTCTGAGATGCTGGTGAGTTTTCTACTCTTTATGTCTCTGTTAGTGTTTATTTTCATTACTGGCACAATTTCCAGATTGGGTTCTTTAATAAGTTGGTGTTTTATCCATATGTAGTAAATAAAGAGCTACTCATCTTGGGGATAAAATTATCAGCAGGTTGGGTGACTTATCCACAATGTCACAGAAGTGAATTGCTCACCTTTAGAAGAGAATGCCTTCACAGCTCCTACCTCTTTTCAATTATCTAGTTTGTTTAACCCTCAACCAGGAGACACCTGGGTTCCAGAACTCTTCTCCATGACCCAAACCCCCGCCCGCACAGCCTCTGCAGCGATGGACAGCTCCTCCGTTACCAAACATCACAGAGCAGAACAAAAAGCCCCAAATGAGAAACCAAGGAAAGAATGGAAATGCCAAAAACACAAGATACAAAGGAAACGCTCATGCTTCTTGCTCTCAAGCACAGTCTCTACTGCAAGAACTGTTCCTAGACCCGTCTATTTCCTAGGGAGAAACCAAACAACTCCAGGCTTACATGTGAAGGAAAATGAATTCAAAATCTAATTTATCGTTCAATTATCTGAATGTGCGGGGAAGTTTCTATGTGCTCCTCCCACTGTGTATCCCTAAAACTTCTGCTATTGTCAGAGTGGAAAACGTTTTTTTCTGAGGCTGCCTGTTTTTCCTTGGAGGGGGTATTTGTGGGCGGGTGTGACATATTCCTTTTTTTGGGTAAATTTAGGTCCTAACAAGACCTGTTCCTAAGCTGTCCTTGATACTGTAAATAGAAAAAGTAAATAAAACAGAAATGCTTTATATCACACATATAATCCAACTTGCATAACGTCAGTTACACAAGAAATGTGGTGACTTTGGTCCTGACTTATAAAAAGTTATGAAAGTTCAGGTGTCCTTGAGGTTCAACCAGAAAGAAAACTAGATGGAAGAAAAGCAGCAGCTGGACAGGGAGGGAGCCCACACTCCTGAGACATTCCTAGTTCACAGATAACTCTGTGGCACAAAAACACGCGCAGCAGACCGACTTGGAAAACATTTGGTGGAATGTGCAAAATCCCCACGTTCACGAGTGACCACATTTGGGACTACAGTCAGACATTTATTTCCAGGTTTGAATCAGATACAGTGAGTGATTCACAGGGATATACACATATCCCTTCACTTTGGGAGCTTATGAATCATGTTTTCCATTCAGTGACGTAGGGAACCCTTAACAACATGCATGGGCTCTCACATCCAGGACCCCCTCTCCTCCTCTCTCCAGTCTCACCAACATTCTGATGATCTCCCTCTGGGCTGGTTCAGTGTGCAGTGAATACTGAACTCAGCCACGAGTAAGAGCTTGAGGCAGAGCCACTTAAGAGTAATCTGCAAGCCTTCCTTCTGAAGACATCACACCAGAACCTCACATGCAGTTATAAATTAGGACGGGAAACCCAGTGCTAATAGCAAGGTTCTCTAATTGCTCACCAAAAAGAGCGATGAGACAACCCCTGCTCCAGTGTATCCTCTGCTGGGTGTCTACACGGACACAGATATCTGTATGTCGCCTTAATGAGGCTCTGCATGTGACGTGCAAACATGACAAAACCCAATCCACCTGAAAAGGTCTCCTTTCTGACAGAAAATGCAATCAGCATAATGTTCACAGAGATCGATTTTATTTTACCTTAAATATAGTTGCATTTTAAAAGCTTCAATAAACTCAATGATTTTTTTAAAAAATCAAAGATACCAACACATTTTTCATGGTCCAAATATGATTCCACATATTTTCTTTAGCAAAGTCATTTGTAATAGATTTTTCATATTTATATTCTTAGCTGATCATTTGTATCTTCTCTCTATATAGATGCCATTAATTTGTCTATTGAATTCTGGAGGGGGCAGGGAAGAAAGATGTACATTAGGGGTAATTGTTTAAAGAAAAAAAAAACACTGATTTTTGGAAGTGGAAATTTTATTGTCATCAAATTCTCCCCCACTGTTACAGATCGGGGAGCAGAAGGAGGAACTGCTGGGGTCTCACACGGCACAGCCTGGCCCGTCCCCGGCCTGAGCCACTGCGGGGAAGACCAGGGCCACTCGGCGATGCTGACACACTCACGGCCGCCACCCTGGCACAAAGATGTGGACAGGAGAATGGCAGAATGTTTCTATGGTGATTTCATTTTAAGGTTTTCCGTTCATAAAAAAGTGCTGAAACAATACACAGTGTATCCCACTTAAGTGAAAAAGAAAAGGATTTCATTATCTTCCTAGTGTTGCACAGAATATTTTGTAGATCAGATTTTCCCATAGCTCAACATCAGCCAACAGACCCGCTCACAGAAACATTTCACAGCCTCTGCTTTTCAAAGATGCACTGGGTCCCTAGAAAAACTTCTTGAAGGAGCAAAGGAGTGCCTCAGCCCAGGAATGAGCAAATGAGCACAGGGCTCGAAACACAAAGGCTGAACCCGAGGTCCTCAGGTCGGCTGGCATGCTCGCAAGGTGACAGGCTGGCTGCAGAATTACACACATGTGACCTTATTATCCAGCGAAAGCATGCACCGGGGGAAGAGCCAGGGGTCTTCCGTGCCTTGGACAGCCAGCCAGAATAAATAAAGCGAGTTGAAGGTGGGTGGGCTGGAGACAGCATACAGCAGCTGGTAATAAACAGCCCTGATGTTTGCTGCAGCTTCTGAACGCTGCAGCGGGTGCTGGGTGCTGCCTGCCAGGCACAGAGGAGGAGCGAGCAGGGGACCCAGGCTGCCTGGAAGCTCCCACACACACAGAGTTAAACAGCAAGGTCTTCACAGCAATTGCTTTTTGGCTCTTAAGCAATGCTTTTTAATTAGTTTGAAATGTTAATTGTTCCTGCAACCAACTTAGAATAGAAATATATTTAAATAAATAATTTTTAGGGATTGTTGGCATTTATGATTCTTTGATGTACTGTCTGAGCCAGCTAGAGTTCATGTCAGAAAGTAGTAAATATCCAGGCTTGTTAAGCCCAAATGCCTCTGGTTTTACACTAGAAACATTTTTGAATTAAGAAGTAAATCTCTCTTTTCTAACATTTTAATTTATATTAATTACTTTAAATGACTGTAGAAATCTTTTGCTATTTCCTTACCATATGTTAAAAAATGACTACCTGATATAGTCAGTTTATCTCTCATAATTTCTACTCTAGCTCTGAAATCAACAGGGTTTTAATTCCTAAGGTTCATGATATATGACACCTGCTGGAGGCCTGGGCAGCTAGTTTAGTGGTTAGTACCTTTCTTAACACTTCAAATCACCCAGCGTCTCCTAGGTGAACTTCACTGTGGCTTCTAGTATCAGCAGTTATTTTCTTAAAAGAAGAAATGGATTATATATGTTGAAATCCAGGAGCTACTAAATTATTTAAGGTTTTATGCCTTATCATACGTTTTTGGCAAGGTAAAGCTTCTTTTCAAGTGAGGACCACCCTTCATCTGGGACTGACAGGCCCAGGCAGGGCCTTGCATCTTCTTCCCTGGCCTGCTTTCTTGAATCACCGATGGAGGCACAGCTATTTAGTTTTCCAGGGACCCAAAGAACCAAGGTTTCCCTCAAGGCCCACCAGATGAGGGTCATTCAGAGTGCCGTCATTTTTGGACACTGTCAACAGTCTCTAGTCATTAGACATTTTCTACCACATCTTCTTCCATCAAAGATGTAAATTAAAAAAAACCCCACAATCAAGAGGTTTTTTATTTTAGAAAAAGATGAAATATGAAAATTTCAAGGCCAATCAAGACACGCTTAGATATGGCTTAAATCTAAGCTGTCAGACCTGACTGACTGTCCTTGGAGAAACACCACAAATATACATCCACCAGCAATGACCATAACCTCAAACTCCACTTTTTCCATTAGAATAATCAAGGAACGCCATTCAGAAATAATATTACATCCTGCATTTTATTCAATTCCATATGACAAAAATAGGAACCTAGACTAAGACATCCATTTCAATCAGTAGATGTGTCAAGCCACAGATTTTGTCATAAAAAATATTGGATCTGGGTAACAACTCTGCACTGGTTCAGGGAGGGCCCGGCCCTGCACGGTGCTGCAATAGAAAAATAGTGTCTCTCCACCGTGCGGAGGGACAGCCTCGCCCGGACACAGGCCGGGCAGTCTGACTGCCCGCCGCGAGCTGCCGTATGTACAGCACTTTACATTTCTCTTTTCTCACGGTATATACACATCTTTCTGGGAGGACAGAACACTACATGGTACCAAATACGATCCCCCCCAAAATCACACCAAAAGAGACACAGATAAATAATAACAACATTCACTGCTGAAACACAGCGACACCGAGCACCTGTTTTCTCTTCCCGACACAGGGACACCCTCACCCGTCCTGGGAGAAGAGAGGGTCCCCGGGGCTCACTCCAACCCACCTCTGTGGGAAACAGCGGGAGAGTTCCATGTTCTTTTCCGACAGAAACCACTGCTAGGTCTGCTCATCTGTGAGGCTCTGAAACTCTGCTCAGCGACATGATGTGGTCTGCGCTTGCTGGGGCTGTGTTAGGAAGATTGTCCTAGAGCTCGGTCTCTGCTGAGGAGGCCGACTGCCTGCCTCCTTCCTCCAGGCTCGCCTCCCGACGCTGTCCCCGGGCACGATGACCAGGGGGACCACGCAGTCAGAGGAGGTCCCGCTTTCAGACTTCAGCATGCGTGCAGCACACAGAATGAGGTAGAACACACCACCCGTCCACATGGCCTGGCTCAGCCCAGCCGCTTGCACCTGCCCGGGCCCCTTCCCTGACTCGGAGCGGCTGACCGTCACCAGCACGCCTGCACTTCGAGTGACTGGACCACAGTGCGCTTCGTTTGCATCTGAGAAGGTAATGAATCAATCAGAAACCCAGAAAATGTCCCAGTTATGATGGATTACACTGCCCAACACCCGGCACCTCTCAGTTTATTGAACACAAGGCCAGCCTGCAGGCAGTTGGGGGCTGGTCCGCAGGCACGAGGAAGCAGCAGAGGGGATGGTGAGGTCACACCCGCACGGCAGCCGCTCGGCTCCCCTCTCCTGGCTTGTCTTGTGGTGTCACAGCCCTAAGACAGCTCACCAGAGTTTTGTTAGGGGTGGTCAAGCTTTTAAATGGGCTTTCTAGAAAAGTTAAATCACTCAATGTAAGAAATGGCAGGCCCAAGTTTACTGAGGAACTGACAAGTCCTGGTGGCTTTCCTGGTTAAGGAGCACAGATTTCTCGTATCGTTTGACCTAAGACCGTAACAGCTTTTTTTTCTTTTCATTTTCCTTCAATCAAATTACTATTTATAAAATGCTTTACATCTTTTAAAATTTTCAAATTATAGACAAACCTCCCTAATACAAAATACTAAAAGTGCAACAGTATAAATTAAGAGTTTGCAACCACATTATACAAACATTACCTTTTTATTGTACAGCTTTGATAATGTGAAATATTTACTCACAACTGCTATAACGTTGTGAATAATTCACGGTGACGTCTGTCTGTGACTTGTTCCCAATTGCTGGGCTACAGACCACACTAGAGACCACTGTCCACATAGCAGCTACAGACATTTAAATTAAAAAAAAAAAAAAAAAAGACTTGTTACTGACAGGTGCTTGCACACGAAAAGCATGCTGTTTCCTAACAGAACTTCACAATTTTGCCTGCATGGAAATCACCCTTATTTATAGTAAAACAAATCTTGCTTTAAAAAAAAAAAAATCACATAGCCAGATGTATCCTGCAGTACAAAAGCTCCTGGTATAGTCAGGCTGCATTGTCTGTGACCCGCATCATCTGAACGTCATAAATACTACAGGCGAAGGTGCTGCGCGGGACCGGCGTTGGGTGCACTGGACCACGTCATTGAGATAAGAGTTCAAGTTTCTAACTAATTCCAACAAGACCACTGAGCAAGTTTCCCTGGCACAGGGCGGGCTCTGGAGGGACAGAATGGATGTGGTCTGGGCCCCTTTGGCTTCCAAGGCGGCTCTCGGAAGACATCTCTTTCTGACTCAAATCTATCTCCGAGGTTGCCGAGTTCTCAAGTTCACCTCGAAAGGCGCAACCGGGCAGCACACGAGGCCACCTCAGGCGGCCACCCGGTGACGTCTTTCCTGCTCCGGGTGAACCGAGAAGGAGACCCGCAGGGCAGGGACGTGGCTAGTTAATCCCAATCTCCTTGTTATCCTCAATGAACCGTGTGAACGGCCGGCCACCTCCCGCGTCCGAGTTGGCTTTGTCCAGCCCTGCGATGGGCGGGCTGCTGCCTGGACGCGCCTTGTCCAGCCCGGCGGCCAGGGAGCCCAGCGGGGGGAGGGCGCTCCCGCCGAGACTTACAGGGAGCTGGGGGAGGCCTCCATTCTGGATGACGGAGATCTCGTTGTTCTTCATGGCCAGCCCGTTGGTGATGGCAGCGGCATACTGGTTCCAAAAGCTGGGGTCCACGTTCATGGCCCGTGCGGCCAGATCCTTCTGGAACATCTCTGAGAACTTGAGGGCATCGCCGCCCAGCAGGGCCATGGGGTTCTCTACCGACAGGCGGCGGCCACGCCTGGCGGGAGCGTTGTTCCACATGTGGGTGCCCATGTGCACCTGCAGGGACAGAGCCACACCCGGGCGTGAGCGCGCCCAGCCTCCAGTTACAGGGGCATCCGGGGCCAGGGGATCCCTTCCAGCTCCTTTCCGTCCCTCCTCCCCAGCCTGAGCATTCATCTGGGACAACAAACTTGTCAGGTGAGCTTTTCTGAACATCTGAGACGTGAACCTGCAACACTCCTTTCATCAAGTACAAGGCAAGCCGACCGATGAGCTGATGGATGCTCCTGTCAGTTCGCAGCTTGACAGAATGACTTCCCCACTAAGGTGTCAGACCCCCAGGCCACCCGGAGGGTCCCAAAGCTCCCCCCACACCCAGATCGTCTTCTACTCGGAACTCCTGCCTTCCCTGTGCCTCTTTCTCTGGTTTTCTCCCAAACATAGAGGGAAGGTCTAGGCACCTGTGGTCAGCAAGGACCTCAGGTGGCCTTCATTTCATGAGGCAGTGGAAGCCATGTCCACAGTGCCTACTGAAGGGGGCCACTGAGACTCCACACGCAGCTAACCTGGGCTGGAAAGCAGCATGCTAGCCTGAATGGCTCCGTGGTGTTGGCCACACACCCTGCCTCCAGGGAAGATGGGCTGCCTGGCCACATCTTCCTTACCAACGTTATATCATCGTACCGTTTGCCCCTGGCCCTCAGGCTGGGAAGATTCTGCCAAATGCCCACCAGGCCCTCTTGGCAATCACATGGACAAACCCACAGATCAAAGCCCTGGCCTCTGGACCGGATCAGCAGCATCTGTGTCACGTGGAAGCATTTAAAAGCCTAGCTATGTTGATACCAGTGACCCACTGGGCTCAGGGCAGCGAGTGTGCATCTCCCCAACACAGTGCAGCCTCTCAGGTGGCTCGAGGGGAGGACAGACCTGTACGGAAGGCAAGCTCCTCGCTGACACAGCACACGCACGCTCTCTCGGGGGAAGCCCTCAGCCAGGACCAGAGGAGGCGAGGGGACTCCCGGGCGACCCTCACCTTGAGGTTGCCCTTGGTGGTGAAGGCTCTCCCGCAGATGGTGCAGCCAAATGGCTTCTCCCCAGTGTGGGTGCGCTCGTGGATCTGCAGGGCGCTGGCCGAGGAGAAGGTCTTCCCACACGACTGGCAGTTGTGCTGCTTTGGCGTCCGGCGCGGCGGGGGGGCCAGCATGGGTGCGAGACCGGGGCTCATCACCGTCGGGGGCCCGGGGGGCACCGGGACGGCAGCCGGCAGCGGCGGACCCTCGGCCAGTAGGCCGGCCTTGCTGTGCCCGTTCACTTCCGTTTTGATGGTGGTGGGCATGGAGCCAGGGCCCAGGCTCGGGGTGCCCTGGCCGGGACCTAGAGCAAAGTTGGGGTCAAGCAACTGGGGAGGCAGCTCTCGCAACCTGTGGGTCAGTAAGTGCTGCTTTAAGTTACCCAGCGTGGAGCAGCCGCGCCCGCAGGCCGTGCACACAAACGGCCGCTCCTTGGTGTGGCTGCGGAGGTGAATCTCCAGGGCGCTCCTGCAAGCAAAGGGCTTGGCACACACACGACACACAGTGCTCGCACACTTACCCCGATCGCGGCTCAGGAACAGCAGACTAAAGGGGGCCTCCTCCTTGACGGCTGGCCGGCCCGGGTGGGTGGCCGTCAGGTCCAGTGCCCCTCCGTTCTCAGGGCCGGGGGGCGGGCTGTCTGGCTTCTCCGTCTTCAGCGGGGTCTCCTGGGGCTCCTCCTGGGTGACAAGGCCCGGGGACTTGGAGGGCACGCTCTCGCTGTTACTGTTCCCGGGCGACAGGGCCTGCAAGGAGGAGGACGACTCAGACAGGGCTGGGCTGCCCGCACTCCGGCTCTCCAGATCGCCCACAGCTGAGGATGAGTCGTTGCTCAGACGGTCACTCTCCCCAGACCCGTTCTCCAGGGACTTGAGGGCGGTCAGCTGCGGGCAGCTCATGACCGAATCCATCATCTTCATCTGGTTCTCCAGGGCGGCGATGCTGGAGATGACGGAGGGCGGGGAGGGTGGGCAGGAGCCCGAGAAGGCCAGCAGCGGCTTGTTCGGGTCGCCGGCCGCATCCTTCAGCTCGGCGTCGTCCTCCAGGGAGTTCTCGTCCATGTCGTCATCGCAGGCACTCAGGGCGTCGGCGGCCTTGTCGTCGTAGGGCAGTGCAGCGTCCATGGCGTCCTGGAAGCCCTCGGGCAGTGGTGTGTTGGGGATCTGGCCCCCCATGTGCATGCGGATGTGCTGCTGAAGCACCACGGCGTTGGTGAACTTCTTCTGGCAGATGGGGCAGGAGTGCTGTACACGCAGGGGCGGCTTGGCGCGGTGCACGCCGAAGTGCGTCTTCAGGTTGCCCTTGGTGGTGAAGGCACGCCCGCAGATCTTGCACTTGAAGGGCCGCTCGCCCGTGTGCGTCCGGTAGTGCATCTTCAGGGCGCTCTGGCAGCTTAGCACGCGGTGACAGATGACGCACTGGTTGGGGTCTGTCATCTTCTTGTCTATGTTCTCCACCAGCTGCTGCAGCTTGGAGGTTTCGGACGTTTGCATAGAGTCGAGCAGCCCTCCGAAGGGGAACTTGGCCTTAAACGGCTCGGCCCCAGCTGGGAGGACAGGGCTGCAGAGGCCTGGGGATGTGCCGCTGTCCGCCAGGGCAGACGTGGTGGAGACCTGCCCCGCCGTGGCCGGGAGGTCCCCTGCCCTGGCATTTGTGCAGGGCAGGCTCACGGGCTCGGTCTTGAGCAGGGAAGATCCACCGGGCGCCGGCTGCGGGGACCCTGCAGCCACTGGGACGCCTGCTTCGGAGCTGGTCAGGCCTGGGGACAAAGAGGGGCACTCGCTGGATGCAGGCGAGGGCCGCTGCGGGGAGCGGCTAGCGGGGGTGAGGCTGGGAGAGTCCACATAGCTGCCAACGCCCATGCCTGGGAGGGTGGGCGGGAGCTGCAGCCCCACTGAGGTGGGCACAGTGGGCAGCGCCGGCTTGCTGTCCAGCCAGGTGGTGACCGGTTTCTCTGGCGGCAGCGACATTCCATAGGGAATCCCGGAGCAGGTGGGCACGTTGTCCAGGTACTCAGGCACCGGGTAGGGGTTCATCTGGATGTGTGGGTACTTCTCCTTGTGCCTCTGGAAGTGCACCTTCAGGTTGCCCTTGGTGGAGAAGCGGTTCCCGCAGATGTT